CTCCGGCGACGTGCGGCCCCGCCGCGCCACCGTGGCCACTCGCAGCGAGGTCAACCGCGTCAATGGCGGCGGGGAAGTCGACGCAGACAGCTTCCAGATGCCCTGCCGCAAGAACTGCCGCCAGGGTGTGCGGCGCGCGGCCGCCACGGGTCCCCTCCAGCACCGCCGTCGCATCCCGTCTCCGGAGGCGGCCCTCGGCCTGTGCTTCCGCTGCCTTGAGCCCAGCCACCCCGTGCGGGAATGCACCAACAACGTCCGGTGCCACCACTGTCTTTATCCTGGACACAGCTCGCGTGACTACACCAAGTACCACCGTGGCATGCTGCGCGCTCCCCCCGCCGCCGCTGCCACCTTGGCCGCCGCAGCCCAGGCGGAGTCGCGGCGCCGTCCCTGCCCGCAGGCCATGACCTTGTGCGTGTCATCCTTTCGCACTATGTGGAGATGGAAGAGGCTGAGATGGTGCTGCGACGTGGAATGGTGGTTTCCATCAGCGGAGACAGACCGGTGATTGCCGCTCGAGATGTCAAGGATGTCATGTATTCCTCACTCTACCTCCACCCCAGAGACTTCACAATCCATGCATACCACCCGGAGGATTTCCTCGTCTTCACCACCCGAGCGCTCATGGACCGCCTCGCCGGCTATCACTTCATCAACGGGCCCAGCTTCACCCTCGCGCTCCGCCCCTGGAACAAGCTCGCCCGTGCCGATGTCGGCTCCCTCGACTACTCTATGCAGCTCGAGCTATGTGGCATCCTGACACAAGCTTGGTACTTTTCCATGGCTGGACACCTACTAGGCAGCAGCTGCTGGATCGAGCAGCTCCACCCGAGCACGCGCTCCTGCGCTGACCTCGCCACTCTCCGGGTGATTGCGTGCACTCGCGACCTTGCAAGCATTCACATGCGGCCATCCTCGAGATCGTGGAATCCGTCCCTGCACGCATCTGCTCCATGCCACTGACCACCCGCACCCTCTAGTACCCTATGTCCATCATGCTCGCCACCGCCATTGTGGCTGAGCGTCCCGCCTGGCCACCAACGGTGACCACGGCCCGCGCGATGGTGCACCTGGTGGTAGGGATGCTGGGCATGGCGATGGGGGCAATCGTGGTCGCCTACGCGGGCGCAATCGCCGCCGCACTACGAATGCTCCCGACGGCCGCGCGGATGGCATGACCATCTACTCCGAGGGCTGGTGTTTGTTCCACCATCGTGCCCACGCTGATGGTGTTGGCATCGATGCTAGCTGGCCCAACTCTTGTCTCCGTACGGTTGCAGCAGCTGCGCTGCCGACGAGACAAACCACCGGTCGCACGATGGACCCTTGGCCCACCGCTGGTGTCCCCCGTAGTTCCTGTCGCTTTTCCAAAAGGGGAAAGCGCGGCGGAAAGAGAAAGAGATTGGCAGAGGAGGCCCGATGTGCAAAAGTTGCATCTTCTGTGGCTGCTTCGCCTTCTTGTCCTGGTGTGCATGACCCGGCAACAGTTGGACCCGCCCATTGGCCATGACCCTCCCCAGCCAGACGGAGGCTGTTAGCACCCACCTGCTCCCAAGGGCCTGCCAGCGACACGACCAAGCCAGGCGAGGATTGCCCTGGCATGCATGGAGATCGGGACAACGACCCGGTCAGCCAATCCCTTGCCAGTGAGGTCCCTGACTCCCAACCTTTGGTGGTAATGACCGATCTGTTGTTGGGGCATTCTGGTGCTTTGTCGCTGCCACTCGCTACTGGCGCTGCGCCCACAGCAGACCAGTCCACGGAGACCCTACTGGCGCTGGAGCCCACCACGACGTGCCCAACAGCGCGTCCCTTGCAGCCAATTGAGCCTCCCTTGCCAGTGAGGTCCCTGACTCCCAATCTTTGGTGGTAATGACCGATCCGCTGTTGGGGCATTCTGGTGCTTTGTCACTGCCACTCGCTACTGGCACTGCGCCCGCAGCAGACCGGTCCACGGAGACCCTGTTGGCGTTGGAGCCCAGCACGAACCGCCCAACGGCGCGTCCCGTGCAGCCAGCAGAGCCTCCCAGGAGCTTCCAGAAGCACCCGCGCGCGGCGTGCCGCGCATGAAATCCACCCCGGACGTTGCTCCGGCCCAGCAAGCCACCAAGGCCCATCATGCTGCCCAGCTTGAAGCCCAGCAAGAAGCCCAACATGAGGCCCTGAACGACACTGCAGGATCTGCCTGCACCCCGAGCCCACCAACGCGCTTCGCGTTGCCCCCGAGCACCATGCGCCGCTCTCGACCGCGCTCGATGCCACCAACGGCGTGGACCCTAGGTGACTTCCTCGCCGCCACCACCAAGCAGATAGATGCCGCCCTGCCAATCCCTGGCGGGCGACAACGACGGTTCCCGCCCAACTTCACCCCTCGGCACGGGCGATTGGCCACGTCTACCACTGGCAAGACGGCCGCCCCACCGACGGCCGAGAGGCGTGCCCAGATCCACATTCTGCGTACCCTTGGCATCGTGAGGTTGACTAGAAGATCACGGCGGCGGAGATGCAGGCGTATGAAGGTCTCTTCACAGTGACCATTCCCTTGTCCGTCCTTTCAGCATTGCTGCGCTAGTTGATCGCGAGCTCCCCGCGAATCCCACCATCGCGACGACACCACGGTGGTCGCAGACAGACCCATCGAGGCATGGTTGCGTCACGCGCCAGGACATCGACCTCTTTCCAATGGATCACAACCCCAAAATCCTCATTTGGAACGTGCGCAGACTCAACGCGCGCGCTTGCCGCACCGCCATCCGATCACTAGTTGTAATCGCAAATGCGTATGTTGTCTGCCTCCAAGAAACAAAGATGGCCTTGATCTACTCGTCGATTGTCTTGGAGACCCTTGGCTCGAAATTCAGGGGAATTATTAAACATCGCATTAACAACTCCTCCACTATCAGCGCGTTACTAGAAAAATAGATGCACTATCAGATGGGTCTGCTTCGGAGATGAAAACTTAAAATTCTTTCATGTGGTGGCCTAGAATGCCCCTCATTCCATCTCTTACTGATTGACGGGGTTCATCAATCAATGATTGTGAAGCCAAAGCTGGTATCATCTGGAGAACATATAATAGCAGAGCACCTATCTCGGCCATTCCCATGCGTCCTTTGATCTGATTGAGCTTCTTCAACAGATCTTGGCTATGGAAAAGGATTTTTACAACCTATGATGATTTTCAAGATTCCGCCATCCTTCAAACCAAGCCAAAAGATACTACACTTGGACCTTTAGGCTTCGCTCGGTTGGTTCATTCCCGCAGGGAACCAACTCAAGAATCGGGTTGATCCCCTAGTGTCACCCAACCGCCACCTGTTCCTTAACCGCCAATCCCCACCAACTTCTGCATCTTAAACTCTGTTCTGTTGCTACACAAGGAATCAAATAGGTACATACAGCATAAGCAAATAGATACATGTGAAGATTCTCAAGCCCAAGCTAGAGACCAGCCATGGACTACAATAAATGTAATCACAGCTCTACAGCTACGAGCTGCAGGACCAAAAGAAAATTACATTTGTACTTTTTCAAGATCACAACTACTGGAAATA